GGGTCCTCATTTTACCTACCTCGGAAGGATGGAAGGCTGAGTCAACCTTGAGCCTGGTGGGATTTGAACAGCCGAACTGCTGAACTGCAGTCAGCTGAAGTAGCCTGCAGTGCTGCATTTAACCACTGCGCCACCTTGGCTCTACCACTGCGCCACCTTGGAATGCAGTATTCCTTGAACTCATCTGCAAGGATGACTGTACTTGATTGTATGAAGTGACATCTGAAGGGCTAATGGCCATTTTTTTTTCTCATCTATGAACTGTTTCTAACCAATATTCAAACATTGCATTGGTTGTTATTTTTCCCAACCCAACGAAAAACGCAAGACTCCCATTAGACAAGCTGTTAAAGAGATTCAGCTGCTCGCCACCTTGTGGTCTGAGGAACAAATTGTGTCAAGGACTGAGAAATAACGAAAGACATCAAGTACAGGTAGACCTTGATTTGTAACTACAATTGGGACTGAATTTCCACTGCTGAGCAAATCATTTGTTAAGTGAACTGCACCCCATTTTTCTACCTTTTTTTTATCAGACTGAAATCTATGAAAACAAGACAGTTCTGTTTTGTCCCCCGCAGTACATACAAACTGAAGCCTCAGAGCTGCATATGGCCCCATAAGTCTTGGCTATGGCCCCTCGGGTAATTTTAAACTGCCTCAATAGCATGAGTTTTAACACGAAAGAAGGGGAAGATTGTTAAATACCCAACTAGTAATCACATCGCTGTATTTCATCAATTCACCCCGGGCTTTCAGACCCCATCCTTGTTTGTTCTAACCATGGTTACTCTTAAGACTGTTTGCCAGCTTATCACTCCAACAGCAACATTATCCCCTTCCCTAAATTAGGAATCTGTGCTATAAAGCTATACCTATCATATAGGCTCCGCAATGACTGGAACATTCTTTCTAACAGAGCTGAAACCACACACACACACACACACACACACACACACACACACACACACACACACACACACACACACACCAATTGCAGTTTGGCTTTTCACAAGCTTGGACAACTCAACACCCATCTGACGGCATGAAGAGAGGGAACTGCTATAGATTTAGGAACAGAACAGAATCCCTTCACCTGGTTTACTGATATCTGCTATTATGACTGACAGCGGCTTTTTATGGTATTTGGGAGAAGCCTTTTGTCTCTGTTGGTCTACTTCAGATCTTTAACAAGGAGTAGCTGCAAACTAGCTAGGCCCTTGAGCCTCCGTGAGATGGACTTGCTCCCAAGATCCTAGCATCAGCCTTGAAGGCCTTCTGGGGTAATCAATCTACTGCACTTTTTTATTGAAAAGTTTTTTTTTATTTTTTCACGTTCATAACAAATAACCACATGTATATTGTTACATAACCAACCTTTTTTTAAATATTATTAAATATTTACATCAATTCATCTTACCATCAACCCCCAAAATCAATTAATGGCTCTTCTGCTCTCCATACACCATATTTATATCCTATCCATCACTTTCTTCTCCCTCTCTCCTTCCCCTCCCTACCTCCTTTTCTTCTCTCTGTCATCTTTCTCTTCTCTACTTCCCCTTCCCCTCTCCTCTCTCTCCTTTCCACTCCTTCTTTCTCTCCTTCTCTCCCCTCCCTCACCCTCTCCCCTTTCCCTCTCTTCTTCCCTTGCCTCTCTCCTCTACTCCACACTCTTCATCTCATTTACTTGGTGTATTTCAGCTTCTGAGCAAGCTCCNCAGACAAATGGCTATCCAATATCTTCTTAAAGACTTCCGGTGTTGGGGCATTCACAACTTCTGGAGGCAAGCTGTTCCACTGATTAATTGTTGTAACTGTCAGGAAATTTCTCCTCAGTTCTAAGTTGCTTCTCTGTCATGTGATGGAAATGTGGGTGCTGGGCAGGGACTTGAACTTTCGTTTGAGTGGGGAAAACCTGGAAATTTTCAGATTCTAGTTTTCCCAGATGTGCCAATATGACATCTCTAATAAAATGGGACTTTGGGGAAACCTCAAGCCTCGATATTTTAAGAAGGGCTTTGTTAAACTGGAATATGTTCAGCGGAGAGGAAATGAGATGATAGCAGCCCTGGAACAAAAAAAACTTGTGAGGAGGTGGTATTGGGTATGCCTTATCTAGATTAGGAAAAAAACTCGGCCCAGATTGATAGCTGCCTTCAAAAATCTCAAGGGCTGCTGTGTATAAGATAGGACAAAACTGAGCCAAGGGGGGCGGGGGGAAACACAAGAAAGAATGGATTTAAAATAACTGGAAAGTTGATTTGGGCAGCTTTCACTGGAGGTGTCTGAACAGAGGCCATCTGTTGGAGATACTACAATACTAGACTCTTGCACTGAGCACATGGGTGGATTAGATGACCACAAAGATTCCTCCCAGATCTTACATTCTGTGATTCTTTGATCTCTCCCCTTCTACCTGGAGAAAGTATTAACTTGATGGAGACTGCAGCATTGTCCTCAATAGCCAGAGCCCCGTTCTGAGCTCCCATCTCAAGCTTTTATAGAAAATTCATGGGTGATCAGTCTGCTGAAGAGTAACAAGTCGCAATGACTAGTTGGATGAAATTAATACTCAGAAGTATTAATTAGAAGTAGAACAGGAAGTATTTGTGATATAATGGGCCATGTGCTTCATGGTATAGAGCCTCGTTTTCTGATGGACTGCATATCTCCAACTGTTTCTGACAACCCAACCCAGCATGTTTGAACAGCTCCTCTCTATTAAATGCTGCCATCTTGTGGGTCTGAGGAAGTGTGCCTTCTCTGTCTCTGCCTATGGAACAGCATTCCCTGAGAGATACAGATGGCACCCCCTTCTCCTGGAGTTCTGGAAAGCCCTTAAAACCTGCATTTGTTCATGGACCTGGATTTAATGTGTGTATTGATGTATTTGTGGGATCCCATTGTAGCTGTTGACATTTTGATGGTTTTAGTTTGGGCCATTTACTTGGGGGAGGGGGGGTTACTCTTTGCTGGATTTTGCAGGCCATTCAAAATCTAATACAGGGGTATCCATCCTTGACAAGTTTAAAGACTTGTAGACTTTAAACTCCCCTGCTGGCTGAGGAATTCTGCAAGAGTGAATCCACAAGTCTTCAAAATTGCCAAGGTTGAACATCCCTGGTCTAACAAATTCGACCACTATCACAAATTTAATAATAAATGTAATATTTTTGTCCTATTACTACAGAGAATGGCTAATAGAATGGGCCATGGGTTTTTTTTTCAAGCCAAAGTAAGATTGAAAAACATTTCCAAAGCATCTTCCATGAACCAGAGATCAAAGTGGCAAAGCTGTGACTATACTCAGACAGAAGGTGGGCCACTTCACCTTATACTTCAATGGTTTGACCTAACATGGGTACCTACTTTGGCAACTTGGCATCCGAGTGAACCTACAGCTCCCGAACAACAGCTATAATGTGTTTCCCAGCCACCTGGCACTGCAAAAAAGAATAGAAAAGAGAGAGAACTGCTAAATGGGAAATCCTCACTGCGCACATAACCACCAAGATTAAGCAAAAACTAGTCTGATTGACATAATTTTGATTTTAATATTAACACAATTCCTTTCTATCAAACTACTTGGGGAGGGTTATGTTTAAAATCATTACTTATAATGAAGATGCAGGCTAGGAAAATGATGTTAAGGGAAAAAGAAAGCAAACAGCAGTATGAACAACTACACAATGAACACAGAAAGCTAAAGTAGACTTACGTCTGAAATATCATTTAAATATGTCTCTAAAGGATTACAGACTAGTTCTTGGAGGAGTGGGGTTTGATGACAATCGGTCACAGCTAGGGTCATAGCTAAGTTAAGGGACGCAGTGGCTCAGTGGCTAAGAAACTGAGTTTGTTGATCAGAAAGGTCGGCAGTTCGAATCCCTAGCACCGTGTAACCAAGTGAGCTCCCATTACTAGTCTCAGCTTCTGCCAACCTAGCAGTTTGAAAGCATGTAAAAATGTAAATAAAAAAATAGGGACCACTTTTGGTGGGAAGGTAACAGCGTTCTGCATGCCTTCGGTGTTTAGTCATGCCGGCCACATGACCACAGAGACATCTTCGAACAGCGCTGGCTCTTTGGCTTTGAAACAGAGATGAGCACCACCCCCTAGAGTCGAGAACGACTAGCACACCTTTACCTTTAAGGTGATTCTGATGAAATGGATCCCATTTTGCCTCCATCACAAACATAATTGGGTTTATTGTCTTTCAACTGTGTCCCCTTGCTTGTTACTTAAGACAACAATAACCTTGCATGTTAAAAAGTGCTCTGAATGAATATTTTACTTGTTTATGATTTTTTCCCTAAATGTTTGCAACTCTGCTATTGCATGTTATTTGAGCTTCATGGAAGCCCTCTTGATATATAAATAGAGTCTGAGGGGAAAAATTCTGCCAAAATGTGATGTCTGTGGAGATTCACATCATCCAGGTCATGGTTGTTTCAAAGGTGCTTTTTCAAAAAATAACTGGACTATTCTGAGAGGAAGAAGAAGCCCTTTTACTTCTGATCCAAGAAACTTGATCAGTTGTGACTGGACTGTGAGCAGATCCTATCCTTCCATCTCCCCCACCATCCAGTCACAATGGATGAAGCTTCTTGGATGAGAAGCGAAATGTCATCTTCTTTCTCAAAAAACAGTCCAGCTGCCTTTTAAAAAAAAAAATTCCTCTGAGCCAAAATGTGATGCTTCTCTCATTTTTTTTTCATTGGCCTTCAATATCCAACATGCAACCTGACTATGATGGCCATGAGCAGAGATCTAAAACCTAGTTGTCTGGGCTCTCAAAGCAGCTTGCAAAATGCCACCTGTGCATCGCCTCAACAGGTTTCTTGTGAGAATAAAATCAATGTGGTGCACTTTGAATTCCATTGGAGAAAGAATATACTTTTAAAAAAACTATTACCTCTTTGCTTGCGTAATCTTCCCCAGTGATGGATGCATTCTTCTTTACGAACACAATTTCCAGAAGGTGATACCATGTATTCTGTGCCACAACGACAACAAATCCTGCAAGAACCTTACAGAAGAAAAAGGGGTGTGTTAAAAATATAAATTTTTGCAAAAATTCTATCTCAATTTCACTATCCTAAGTTATATCCTTATTTAAGTTATAATAACATGTTATTATATAGTAACATCATTTGTGTTTTGTTTTTTAAATATTGGAAAATTCAATAAATACCATTTTAAAATAAATATATAGAGAAAGATTTTTGGCTCTCAGTCCTTTCTCATATATCAACCTAAAGCACTATTTTTTTTAAAAAAAATCTTCTATTTTCTCCCAATGAGATAAACGGATCATACAGTTTGGGAGTTCATCAGAACAGGAGCCCTTACAATACAATAGTAGAGTTGGAAGGGACCTTGGAGGTCTTCTAGTCCAACCCCCTGCCTA